TTACCTGACGGGTTAAAAAACTAGAATTACGATCTGGTCATTACAAAATTATGCGTACTGCAATCTTAAACGAATTATGCGGGTCCATAAAGTAGGATTAGAAATCACTAGGGATTGGATCCATGAAAAATTATGCAGGAAATTAGTTGCGCCACTCAACTACGTATAATTACATGATTACAGTGGTTTCATTAATTTTGGAACATCTGGTAATATAAATATTATATTTTTAAAGAAAATTTTAGAGCTTATTAGTTCGAAAAATTGCCAAAACTTGGACGTCAGTTCTAGAATTGCATATCTTCTATACGCGAGTTCTCAAGCACATTCAAAAAGACATGGATATTTAAATTTGTGCATGTGAATTTAGTGATTTTTTTATTCTGTTGGTCAACCTGCAGGTCAACCAACGGATCACCCGACGGGTCACCCGCGGGTCAACCGACGGGTCACCCGCGGATTGACCTACCCGTGTGAACCGGGTGATACCCACTTGGGTCAAAACATTACCGCAGATCCCTTTCGATTAAAAATTAACGTTAACTGCTTACGTTATGATAAAGGTAAGTGCTAGGATGACGTCAGAGAGTGTATAGTATATAGTAAAATTCTGCAAGAAATGCTAAAACGCAGGTGATTTGGTAACCCAGATTTTTGAATTATCGTTATCGTTGTGGATGTTGGTGCAAACATTAAAATAAATATGTATTACGTAATTAAAATAACCGTAGAATTACATCACCATCTTATCGTTATCGTTATACGTATTTTTTCATGTGTTACTGAATAAGCAATGCAATAACTCTGCACCTAATAATTAATTATACAATAAGCTTTAAATTAAAAATAAATCAGTACACAAGTAATTGGAGATTTAGACATTAAATTTTCCTAATTAACATAAACTTTCCAATCGCTTAAAATTACGCCGGAAATCGTCTTAATTAATAGAAATCTCCGACAGAATTTGTGCACCGAAATATTAACTGTAAATATTATGTCAGATAATGTCGTACATACTCTTCAAGATTCTATAAAATGACATTCGAAAAAAATTAATCATAACAATTACAGAATTATAGTGAACTGCAACCTTAACTTGAAGATTCATTCATTTCTTTTCACCCCTTCATTGCTGACGATATTTCTTTTGAAATTCATTATTAATTTACAAAGTCAATTTTTTACATTAACATCACCCAATTTATGTCAACATTAATGTTAATCATATAATATGGGTTCTTGCATGAGTAAGAACTTATGTTCTTGTATAAAGACGCACAAATCATATGAGAATAGATCCCAATATTCCGGTGATGATGATGATAATAATAATAAAGGTTTTCGGTACATTGACGGTAGAAGATTTCATAACATTACGACCGTGAAGTATCCATTGCCTAATGACGGTCAAGAATGTGATAGGTTACACATACAACATTTCTTGCATAGGTTATTATATGTCACCTTAATTAGAATTTTGTTTTTCGTGCTGTACATTTTTGTCATTTATCGATATATTTTTAGATATTTATGGCAGAGTAATTTCTCATCGCCTGTTGAACATGTTTTGAAAAATTCAGAAGAAAGAGCTAAAGTTCTTGATGTTGGGTTTGTAAAAAAAAAGTGTTAATAGATCATTTATTGGCATGGATTAAAATGAAATCAGATTAAAATGAAATTTGAAATTTCTATTTAACCCTTTAAACTCATTTATTTATTTTAAACTCTACCCTAAATCTGATCCCTAAAAAAAAAAGGTTAAAAAATGAACCCAAAAAGCTTGTATCTTTTATGCTTATCTATTTTAGACTATATGAAATTTAATCTGATTTCATTTTGATATGTCGCAATTATTAATATATTTAAGAAAAAAAATAATTGTATATATATTTTTGTTTTACTAGATGCGGCGCAGCTACATGGCTATTTGAAATGGTATTTTTTTTTAAATAAACTAGATACAGTATCAAATAAAATTCCTACATATATAATTGATACTCTTAATTATATCAGGCTACTACTTATCCAAATGCAGACTTCATAGGTTTTGACATGTCACCACACCAACCTACACAAATCAAACCGTTTAACGTTGAATTTGTTACAGGGAATGTATTAAATGGTTTATCATTTGAAGATAATACCTTTGATTTTATATTCCAACGGATGTTGTTTACCGCATATCCGGAATCAAAATGGCCATTTGTAATAAATGAACTCGTGAGAGTGCTTAAACCGGGCGGTTACTTGGAGGTATTTTCCAAAATGTTTAATATGAAACCTTTCGGTACTAATTGATACATTTAATTGGAACTGATATATATATATATATATATTAATATATTAAAAAATAGATGTCAGAACTTGATCCTATGGTAAAACAAGTGGGACCTGCTTCAAAACTTTTTTATAAATCTGGTGAATATGAATCTGATCTTATTCTTTTTCGAATTATAGCATAACACGTATTAATACAATATAAATCATTTTTAATTATTAAAAAAAGCTTGTGATGTGTTTCGGCAACGTGGCACTGACCCAAATGCATGTTACAAATTGCAAAAGTATGCTATGGAACAAGGTGAACTTGAAGACATTCGTAAAGAAGAAAAAAATATGCTTTTTGGTAAAGATGCTGGAGCTCTTGGAAAAGTGGTAATAATAATTGTATTCATTAATTACAATAACTTTTTAAATTTGTTCACTAACATTCTTATACACAGGCGATTGAAAACAATATTGGCGTATTAGAAAGTCTAAAACCATTAATGTCAAGAACGTTAGATCTTTCTTCTAAACAATATGATGAATTAAATAAAACAATTACAAAAGAATTAAGTGAATTTAATTCTTATTATCCTGTTATTCGCGTTTATGGGTGTAAAATTCAAGTTTGGGATGACGCAGTTCACAATGAAAAGCTATAAACTAATGTTAAAATAACATTATCGACATCTAATAATCATTTTAATTATAAAAAGAAACATTCATTTAAACATATATAATGTAAGCATATTTTATATTTCTCAAGATTATTGTAAATTATAAGATCCCCTCCCTAGGCTTAACTTGCCTTTAGGTCGGCGAGTTAGTTTGGGTTCCGATGTTTTTTAAAATTTATTTGTAATATTTGATTTAGATTTAAAAATTATATTGTAGTATTAAATTTAAATACGTAATAAAGGCCTACCGATTTGTCTCCAGAATAGGATAATGAAATTGATTCTGGTAAATTTTTGAACAGATTAATAATTTTTGTATTTTATCTATGAAAATTGGAGAAGACGTGTTATCAAGACAAAAGGAAAGCAACTCTAGCCATGGCATACGATTTAGGCGAGATTTATCGATATAACTATTGCAAAAACCGAAGAACGCAATGAAGGACTTTTTATTCACTAGACTTTGGATTTTAAAGATAAGTCGATAAACTATCTGGATGTGCTAAGTGGATATTCGATTATCTAGGTCAAAGAACTAATTTGGATAGCTTATTAAGTAAATTTAAGTAATATCGAAATATAATGATAGCAATTGTTGATAATTCTGTTTTACTTAATTAAAATCAAAAAATTTAAGATTTTGAAAATTCACTCTTTTAATTAAATAGTGATCAAACAATAATTTGGTCTCACTTCGTTTAGTTTCGCTTTATTACAATTTTTATATCTTATTTCAGAGAGACATTCTTTTTTTTTTTGGACATATCGTTATGTCCAAAAATTGAAACAAATTGGACATTGTGACATGCTATCCCAGTTCTCAACAATTTTTTTTCTATATATATCTCTCAGTCTCACTTTGCTTAGCTTTTCTTTAAATTAAAGCTTGCATTTGTTACATTATACTTCAGAGTCAAGAGGTAATTTTTTAGAATTTATTTAGTATTCACTGAAGAAGAAATTCACCACGTTATGTTTTTGATAATTTTACTACAATTTTTTTATAGCTAAAATTAAACTCTAGGGTTAGGATTCAGCGTTTGAATTAAGGTAGAAGGTAGGGTTCTTTTAGGGTGCTGGATATTTTTACTTAGTATACCAAATACCGATTATCAAAGCCGTTTTCGATCCGCTGAATTTCACATCCGGTGAACATTAAAATTGGCCAATTTTTTTAATATTTCGCCTGGCTTTTACAGCGTGATTTTAGTTGCCATGTATTTATAAAAATGACTTAGAATTACAAAGAAATTTTAATTGTAGATCTTACAAAAATGATGGATGCATCCTATCCAATTTTACCTATTTTTCACTTTCTTCTTTGGGAGATCAATATCGATTGACCAATCAAAATATAAATTTTTATGAAGCAAAAAATAAGGAAATTAGAAAATGGTCAGTAATATAAAATGGAAAAGGTTGTTACAGTCTAGTTTCCATATGTATAATAACCATTAAGCTGGATACTGATACTCATATATGACAAAAAGTCACATTTAACTGCAAAAGGGATAATACTTGCAATCTCGGAAATCCCGACACTCATGAGTGTAAAATGTACAACCACCCTAGCGCCACCAACTTAAAAATTTCACAGGATCAAGTGCAACATAAAATCAAAACAAAAAATACACTAAAATCCTAACACTAAGGTTCATAACCAGTACCCATCGCACCATTTGTTATCATAGTTTCACTTTACAGGATCGTTGGAAATTAATAATGATTATTGTGTATACTTACAAACTCTGAACCCAAAATGTACATTTTACACCAATGTTTAGGTCAAGTTTATATAATAAATGTCGCAGATCATAATGAAATCGGATTAAAATGAAATGAAATGTTTTTATTTGAGCCTCTAAAACCCACTTATACTTGTTTATTATAAAATCTGCTTCTAAACCCTAATCCTAACCCTA